CGAAACTGCCAGCGGTTCCGCGAGAGAAAGATGAGGCGTTCTGCTCCCATAAAGATTTACAGCCTCGGAAACCCTGTGTAGGGTCGCTATGAGTCGGAACCAACTCCACAGTTCTTAACAACAACATGTGGGGTTAGACTCCAGGGTTTTTAGGGGTAAATTAGCTCATTTAATACGATTCTGTTGGACAAAAATTGAGTGGATTATTAATGATTCATCTGTGTACTAATAATGGTTTCACTGAGAACAAGTCATGCCAAGCTGACATTTTGTTTTTTGAAGGAGAGATGCAAGCAGACAGAAGCCCCTTCACAGTATTCTGCGATCTACCTAAGAACTAGTATCCGTCGCCTGGATGGATGATAATATGCTTATAATCCTTCTAGAATGGCCCCATCTTGTTCACGCTGGGTAGCCCTGGAGCTACGACAGTGCCAGGGTTAGAGAGAACACAAGGCTGAATGAGGACTGGCTCAGAGCCAACTTGAGTGCTGATGCCCAAAGACCGTTAACTGAGTGTTGTGTGTCAATTTACAGCACGGGGCTTCTCCTGTTCAACATGTTCAATCAGCAACTTGGAAGATGGCAACTTATCAAATTCCGAGATAACAACATTGTAAGAAGGGCAAGGGTATTAGAAGACAGAAATCAAGATTCAGAAAGATGTCCACAGTCAGGAGAATTAGGTGCAATTAACCAGATAGAAATTAGGAGGATGAAAATGAAAGCTCAGTACAACCACACAAATGGATGAGGAAAAGCTAGTTTGAGCGTAGTTCACTTATGAGAATCCAAAGCTTTAATATTTGCTAGCTCACTACGAGACAGTATTCTGAGACGGTGGTTGAAAGAATTAAGCCAATTCTAGGCTGCATGAAGGCAGAAAGGGCCAATGTCCTCTTCACTAATATCTCTGGGGACAATACCTAGTTCTGGACATCACATTCTTATGGGATCAATAACTCTGAACTGTGTGTGTTGTGGAGAAGGCTGGGGTCTAGGCTAGGGAATGCTCTGGAAACAAGATAAGCAACTAAAGGAACTGGGGATGTTTAACAGGAAAAGAAAAGGCCTTGCCGGGGTGGTGGGGAACAGGACACAGCACAATCTATCTTTAAATATGACACACTGTCTAATGGAAAAGGGGTCTGACTAGGAGGGCAAATGGATTTCCTCTCTTGAGCGAATTCTAATCGATTGGTAGTGACCGCCAAGAGGCCAGTGCTGAGGATGATTCTCAGACTGAGTGCAGTCAGCAGGAATATGATCAACTATGTATGTCTGCTTGGCATTTGGGAAGGGGTAGTATTTGCTATCTCTGGATTTTTGGTGTTAAGTGCCGTAGAGTCAGTTCCAACTCACAGCAACCCTGTATAGGGTTTCCAAGGAGCGGCTGGTGAGCCTGAACCGCCAACCTTGCGGGTCAAGCTGACCTTGCAGTCCAGCGCGTTAACCCACAGTACCACACCAGGACTCGGATCTCTGGATTAGAAAGGCTTATGCTGACTCTCTGGTAGCGTAGTGGTTATGAATCGGGTTGCTAACCTCAGGGTCAGCAGTTCAAAACTACCAGCTGTTCCGTGGGAAAAAGATGAGGCTTTCTGCTCCCATAAAGATTTACAGCCTTGGAAACCCTGTACATGGTCGCTATGAGTCAGAACTGACTCCACGGCACATAACAACATTCTGATTCATGAATGCCTATGAAGTTGCAAGGAAATACACTTGGCTCATTGTCACCGAAATCTGTCTAATAATTAAAGAACTATCAAGCTGCCTTGTCAGAGGTTAAGTCCAGCCAACTTGTCACCACTTGAAGTATTTAAGGAGAGGCTGCAAGACAGAGTAATAGAGTAGAGCAACTCAAAGAACTGAGGGGTTCCTTCCAACTCCTAAGTATTGTAAGCTGCAGGTAAGCATAAGATGCAACTCAAGGACTCTCTTCCGAAGCCATGAGTTTTTCTAGCCATCTCTTTACACGCTCCTGACAGCAATGGTTTCATGTGTTCTATGGACCTGGGATGCAATCCTAAGCATAGGACATGCCTACTGCAAAGATGAAGAGCAGTCTGAATACTATGGTGCTCCATAGGATAAGCAGTGGACTGTGAAGCACAAGGTCAGCGGTTTGAGCCCACCAGCTGCTCCGAGAGAGACCCATGAGGCTTTCTGCTCCAGCAAAAGATTTAAAGTCTCAGAAACCCTATATAGGGTCACTATGAGCGGAAACAGACTACGTGGCACTTTAACAACAATGTAAAAACTGTCCATTCATATTAAAAACAACTCCCTCACCCCATGTGAGGTTATGCTAGCTCTGGAGAATATTTCACCTATTTAACCTTGGAACCAAAGACTGGTCAACAGGCACAACAGATGCCTTTAAACAGTATCTACAACATATTAGCATCTGCGTAGAATAGAGTTTTCATCGTTTAACTATTCTGTTCCAACGCCTTAAAGCTTCTCATCTCTAGGAGTCCTCCAATGCTCCAGGTGACTTTTCTCAACATTTATCAGCGAAGCTCTGCTCGAGTTGACTGGAGTCCTTGTTATTGCTCTTTTTCTCTCTTCGGGACTCACTGCTCGTCCTAATTCTGTGTATATAAAATCCTTACCCATCCTTCAAAGTCTCATCATTTCCTTCCTCATCCATACCTATTTCTCAACACCAACATGCAAAAGTTGGACAACAAATAAGGAACACCAAAGAAGGATTGAGGCATTTTTGAATTATGGTGTTGGCAAAAAATACTGAATATACCGTGAACGACCAGAAGAACAAACAAATCTGTCTTGGAAGAAGTATGGCCAGAATGTTCCTTAGAAGCCAGGATGGTGAGACCATCTCACATACTTTGGACATGTTATCAGGAGGAACCGGCCCTGGAGAAGGACATAATGCTTAATAAAGTACAGGATCAGCGAAAAGGAGGGAGACCCTCACCGGAATGGACGGACCCAGTGGTTGTAACAATGGGCTCATACAGAATGATTGTTGAGGAGGGGGTGCAGGACCCCGCAGCATTTCATTCTGTTGTGCATAGGACCACTAAGAATCAGAGCGGACTTGAGGACACCTAACACCACCACCAGTGAGCTCTGGTAGCATAGTGCTTACGAATCGCGCTGAGAACCTTATGGTCAGCAGTTCAAAACTACCAGCCGCTCCACGGGAGAAAGATGAGGCGTTTTGCTCCCGTAAAGATGTATAGCCTCAGAAACCCTGTACAGGGTTGCTATAAGTCGGAACCGACTCCTTGGCACACAGCCGCCGCCGCCGCCGCCGCCACCACCACCACCACCCCCACCACCACCCTACAGTGCTCTCCACATATGAAGCCCTGTCACTCTAGATGCCTCTTTAAGACTTTACCCTTTTCAGGGCCAGGCATCAAAACTCATTGTCCTCTTCTCTCAGGCTGTGCACAAAGCAGACGTTATGGACAAAGCAGATTTTGTCCACCTATGACAGATCATTTATACCTACAGCTCACCACTGCGGAGAGGGTCCTGCATTTCTAACTCCTGTGCTCACTTTCCCCGGTTCTGGGAGGCTCTCCTTTCTGCCCACCACACCAATCCTATCCATCAAGTTTGTGACGAAGTCACAATTTCTCCGCAGAGATGTCCCTGGTCGGTTTTATCTTTGACCCCCTTTTTTTTTTTCCCTCCCGAATTCTTTACTCAGGCTACAAAACATTTTAGTTCTTATCCAGTTCTCTGGCAGTGACGGGATGTTACCATCCGTTAGATCGGTTCCTTTTCTTTCTAATATTGAAGCACTTTGGGAGCGAGGCTCACCTTTATCTTTCTCACAGCACGAACAACGGTGGGTACTGGATAAAGTGAGGCTCAGTGGTTCTCAACTAAGGGAGTGATTCTGCCCTCCAGAAGATACTTGAAAATGTCTGGAAACATTTGTGGTTTTCACAAGGGGTGTGTGTGTGTAACTGCAACTGTCATTTAGAGGGCAGAGGTGAAGGATACTGCTAAATATCCTACAATGCACAGGACAGCCCCTAAGAACACCGAATCATCCGGCCTGGATGGCAATAGTGGCGCGGTTAAGATACCTTGGCTGAGATGCACGAGCCGGTACGAGCTTGCGGTTGAAACGCGGTGTAGACCGGCTCCGCGAGCTATGCCAGGGTCAGCGGGCCAGAATTAGGTCGGTTCGGTCGTGCTGCCCAGGGGCTGCCCCAAGCCGAGACATGGTGGAAGGACAAGTGCACCACTTTCATCAGGCGGGTTCGGGATAGCCTCCCAAAGCCCCGAGCGCCTGTTCCACGCCCCGAGTCATTTCATTCCTACCTGCAGTAGCCGGACAGCAGAGGCGCCCAGATTTCGCCACGGAGTTTCGCAACAATCCTCGCGACTTTCGGTTATTGTGATCTCGCGAGATGAGGGCGGGGTTCCGGCAGAAGAAGCACAGCTGGGCGCATGCGCCTTAGCATCCTAAGCGCCGGCGCTCACTGTGGCGGGTTTCTGGCTGGGAAGGGCTGGGTACCGTGTGAACAGTGAGAACTCCCCGAACTGCCCTCCCTGCTCCTGTATTCCCACTCCTCGTCCGCCCTCCAGCTGCTTTTGAGGGTCGCTGTTGGGTCACCACCCCGCCCACCACCGCGGAGAAAGGAAATGCGCATTCTTGACCGAGTCCTTAGTTCGAAGCATGAGGCAGAGCATTCCATCCCCTCGTTCTTTCCTGGCCTCCGGGACAATGGAGGGCTTTGAGGGCCGAGATGCCCTCCGCGACCACCGGGGCCTGGGCCTAGGAATTGAGCTGCGGGGGGTGGGCACGGCGGGCAGAAGCACACACCAGATGGCACAGGTAGATCCCGCGCCCCTCACTGGCACACTGGCGGAAGTGAAGCCTTTTGTTTACGTTCGTTAAACTCCTTTCCTGGTTGGGCCACTTCTAGTTCCCCTGGATGCTACATCCAGTGTTCAGAATTTCCTGGCTCACCAGGTAACCGGCGCCACATTTTCTCTTCCAGGCCCCTATGCCTTCCAAATCTGTCGTGTTGAGTCAAGATGAGCTGCGCAAAAGGCTGTACCAGACGTTTAAGGATCGAGGTATCCTGGACACGCTCAAGGTATCAGCTTCAGGGTCTATGTGTTGCCTTAACTGTTGTAACCTACACCAGATTGTCACCATTCAGAGCCATCCAGATTTTGAGTATTCAAAACAGTCCGATAAGCAGCTTGTCCTGGTGAATTACATTACGAATTGGGCTGCGAACCTTAAGGTCAGCGGTTCAAAACTACCAGCCGCTCCGCGGGAGAAAGATGAGGCTTTCTACTCCCGTAAGGATTTACACCCTCGGAAACCCTGTACAGGGTCGCTATGGGTCGGAACCGACTCGACGGCACTTAACAACAACAACAAATGTTTTGTGATAACCCGTTGCTGCCAATCTAGGACAGAATAGGACTATTTGTTCTTTCTGCCAAGGAGCTCTGGTAGCATAGTGGTTACGAATCAGGCTGTTAACCTCAGGGTCAGCAGTTTGAGACTACCAGCTGTTCCGCCGGAGAAAGATGAGGCTTTCTGCTCCCATAAAAATGTATAGCCTCGGAAACCCTGTACAGGGTCGCTATGAGTCAGAACCGACTCCAGGGCACATAACCAACTCCCCCCCCCCCATTCTTTCTCCCACTGAGTGCTTAACCTACTTTGCCTTCATGTTCCTTGTGTGAGGGGTCTTCAAAAAGTTCCTGCAAAAATTGAATGAAAAGAGAATGGAATTTTGCTACAGACTTTTTGAAGCCCCTTCTCATACATGTGAAAGTGCACCTTACTAAGCTGCCTTTGGGTTTGCTAATTGCTCATGCAGGTGTTACTTCCCTTTTGGGAACCCAGCTTTAGTTTAACCCATATGCCCAATAAACTGATTTGACCCAGTGTTCTTTTGATAACCTCCAGCCCCCCACTGAAATGTGATGTGGTGACTGGTTGCTTTCCTATCCTTGCTATCCTGATCCTAAATGACTGATATGGGCTCGTAGGCAAACGCACAAGGGTTCCCTGGGATGCTGGTGAAAAGTTTTGTGCAGAATCCCTAAGAGTTGCTGGTCTCACAGGTTGAGACAGTGTGCAGGGCAGAGTCCTGACTTGGCCGTGGACCTAGATCCCGCCTGGAAATCAAAGGAAGGATTCTGTTCAATGTGACTGATGTGTATACCTAGTGAAACAATCCTGCTGACAACGTTTTCCCTCCTTTCTTTCTTTTTGGGGGGAGCTAGACACAACTTCGAAACCAGCTTATTCATGAATTGATGCGGCCTGTTTTGAGTGGCGAGCTGAAGCCCCAGTCAATTCCAGTGGAAGGGAGCGCCCTCTTAATAGGCGCTTCCAACTCTTTGGTGGCGAATCACTTACAAAGATGTGGCTACGAGTATTCACTTTCTGTTTTCTATCCAGAAAGCGGTTTAGCTAAAGAAAAGGTAAAGTTATCCCATTTCTATATTTGAATTTCCTCCTAACAGTTTCTTTTTCTGGTATTAGTAAAGCGCTCCTGGACTGGCTAAGTCCATTTCTGATTTCTCTCTAACTTCATGTCAGACATGCTTCTACTATACGTTGTTGTTGTTGTTATTATGTGCCATCAATTTGGTTCTGACTCAGAGCAACACTTTATAGGGCTTCTGAGGAGCAACTGGTGGGTTGAACTGCTGACCTTCCAGTTAGCAGTCCAGTGCTTATGCAACATTGCCATGCCAAGAGGCTCGTATTTGTTAGCTGCTCTAACAAATGACTAATACACTTCATTTTTGTTAGTTCCCTGCTATCTCCATGAGTGTTCTGTAAAGTATGGATGCATAGAATCAGTGAATGCTTTGGACTAGAATTGACCTTCCACTCTGCATAATCAAATACAAATCATAGCTATCATTTATATTGAACATCTGTGGCACTGTAGGATCAGCACTAGACTGCTAACCGCAAGGTTGATGGCTCAAATCCACCAGCTGCTCCTCAGAAAGCCTATACAGGGTCACAATGAGTTGGAACCTACTCAACAGCACTTAAACCACAACAACCTGTGCTTGGCATACTACAGGTGTATTGTGTGTAACACATAAGGAGCCACACTCAGGAGGTGAGGTGACTTGGCCAAGACCATACAACATGTAAGTGCTCGAGCAGGCAGTAAATCGAGATCTCTACAGTGTGCTGCAGTCTCTTCAGACATTTCCCTTTGTATTTACATAAGAGAAATGAGAGCTACATAATTTTTTAGAATTCTATCAATTTCACAGGTATTAAAACAGATGTTTTCGATTTTACTGCTTTTTCTCTTTGAACATATGAGTATTATAAACCAGAAACAAACCAGTTGCCATCAAGTTGCTTCTGATTCCTGGTGACCCCATATGATTTTCAACGACTGGTTTTTAGAAGTGGATTACTAGGCTTTTCCTACAGGGATCCTCTGCATCGATTCCAACCTCCAACTTTTTTGGTTAGCAGCTGAGCTCATTAACGGATTTACCATAAAATGTACATTGTTGTTGTTGTGAAATGCTGTTAAGTCGGTTCCGACCCATAGTGATCCTCTATAGGGTTTCTGAGGAGTGACTGGTGAGCTTGAACCGCCAACCTTGCAGTTCAAACTGATTTTCAGTCTGGCACATTAATCCACAGCGCCACACTAGGACTCCGAAATGTACATAGTAGTTACATTTTATTATTTTGAAGGCAGAGTAAATTTCCGTTACTCTTTTCAAAAAGAAAAACACTAGTAATGAATGAAAACTGAAAATGTAAATATGCTATATTTCTTCATTATCAAAATGTAGTCAACCTTAGAAATTCTTCTGTGGTCCATCAGTCTCTTAAGTTTCTAATTACGTTTTACAATTTTACTTGTTGTATGAGTCCTGGTGTGGCACTGTGGGCTAATGCATCAGACTGCAAAGTCGTTAGAACTGCAAGGTCGGTGGTTCAAGCTCACCAGCTGTTCCTTGGAAACCCTCTACAGGGTTGCTATGGGTTGGAATTGACTCAACGACACTTAACAACAACAAATGAGTAATAGTCAATTTTATCAGTATTATAGCAGTAATTGTGCAGCCTTCAGTAACTCAGCTGGTAAAGCAGAGGACTTGTAGGCAGCATGCATGTGGCTATCCTTAGGTCGCTGGTTCGATTCTGGCTTGAAGGAAGTGTGTGACACTGGTGTGGTGCTGTAGGATAAGAACTGGACTCCTCACCACAAGAACGGTGGTTCAAGCCCACCAGCAATTCTTAAGACACCTTATACAGGGTTGCTATGAGTTGAAACCGCCTCAACAGCATTTAACAACAACACTAATATAAAATGCCATTAAAGTATTTCTTTAAAGGAAACAAGTTGAGAACAAATTAAATTAGTGTTCTCAGGGTAGACATGGTCAATGATACGCACTGTAAAAGAAACAAGTATTAAGCATTTAAAACCCTGTTCGTTAGGGTTTCCAAGACCGTGAATCTTTGTGGGAGCAGACAGCTTTCATCTTTCTCGTATGGAGAGGCTGGTGGATTTGAACTGACGATCTTGTGGTTCACAGCCCAATGCTTAACCCACTCTGCCGCCAAGGTTCCTTGTATTAAGAATTGTTGTATTAAGTATAGCTATTCAAAATGTTTGTTTAAAGATATTTTAGTCATTGATACTTGTAAAGACAGTAAACATTCAGTTTATTTGCATTTCAAAACAGTAAGTTGAAAGACCTTGGAACTCACTCATGTACTCACTGGTTCATAAGATAGTCCTTGTTGTCATCTATGAGACATTAACTACTTTCGTCATTTCTGTGGGGCATGTAAGCTTTGTGAAATATTTGGAGATAAATGATGTGATTGAAGATCCCTGGTGGCTTGGTGGTTAAAGCACTTCACTGCTAACCCATAGGTTGACAGTTCGAACCCACCAGGTGCTCCATGGGAAAGCGATGTGGCAGTCTGCCCCTATAACGATTGCCAGCCTTGAAAACCCTCTGAAGCAGTGCTGTGTTCTATAGGGTCGCTCTGAGTCAGGATCGACGTGACAGCAATGGGTTAATTCTGTGATCCAGAAACAGATTTTATGTTTTTGACCTCAGTGTGTTTACTGTAGTTTGTCTAGCACTACTAGAAAGAGGGACCCCTGGTGTGCCGCTGTAGGATCAGTTCAGACTCACCAGCTGCTCCTCAGAAACCTATATGGGGTTGCTATGACAACACGTAACAACAACTAAAACGACCTTTGATGTTGCATTATTTAATTGGAAGCATGATTATTAATCTCAAAATGTACTGATTTGTCATTTAAATCTCAGTGTGAAAATATGTCTACTTAATTCTTTTTTTTTTTTTCTTAAGGTGTTTTCTATGCAGGATATGTTACAACTCATTAAAATTCACCCTGCGTCCAGTCTCTACAAATCACTGGTAGGACCAGTTAGTTCTTGTAAGCTGCTTGATTTGCTCATTGTAACAGAATAGTTGAATAAAGATGAAATGTTTTCTTTTAACAGATTTCCGGATTTGAACAAGAAAACCAAAAAGGTAGGTGCCTTCCCCCTTATAGAGAATAGCAAGATTTTTGTCCTGGTCATGTACTTGTTCCGATGAAAGCATGAAACCAATGACTTTTAGGAGGAAGGTTGGAAATTTAATAGGAAATAAATCATTTGATTTTCCTTCCATTAATAACTTACCTTTTAACTAAACAAAGCAATCCATTCTTCTGTTGTCTTGACAAATGGAGATCATTTTCCCCAAATGTCCATCTTTTAAATAACCCTTAGACACTAAAATGGGGTCCTGTGTAGGATAAGCACTGGACTGCTTACCACAAGGTCAAACCCACCAGTCACTGCCTGGAAACCCTATTCCAGCATTGCTCTGAATCAGAACCAACTTGATGGCACTTTAACAACAGCAGATAATATAAACAGACGGAAAGGAACTCTGTGGAAATACCCACTGTTCATTGTATTAATATTAATGAAAGAATGGATTGCCTGGTCTGGTCAGTTACAAGTGCTATTATTGCTGTTTTTATTCAAAAGTGTTTATTAGTGTAAGTTCCTTCATTTGGGCCTTGATGATAAGCTTTCAGGAGTCCATCACTACGGTGAGCTGGAATTGTAAACAAGCAAGATGGCCCTCCTTAGGTGGCTGGATCGGCTCGGCTCCGTCGTCGTAGTGCAGTACTGTCTGGCCATGAAAAGGAATGTGCTTTCCAGGCATTTCTAAATATAAATGGATCTTAAATGCATAGCGTGGAAAAGAAGCCAATCTGAATAGGCCGTATACTGCAGGATTCCACTAAGAGGACATTCTGGAAAAGGCAGAACCGTAGAGAGTAAACCCGTCAGTGATTGCCGGAGACTTAGGTGTGGGAGATTAATAGGTGAAGCCCAGGGGAGCTGTGTAAATTCTGTAGGAGACTATGATGGTGAGATCCATGCCACTATACATTTGTTAACACCCAGAGAACTTAACAGCGCAAAAAGTGAGCCTTGTTGTGGTGTGCTGTCGAGTCAGTTTGGACTAATAGTGACCCTGTATAGGGTATGTATGCAGGTTTAGGAGGTCAGGTGACCAGGGCAGAATGCAGACAGTGACACAACAATCTAACCCTATTACAGATGTGGGCCATCACCTCATTGAAGGGGGCTGCGGGAAAGGCACTCTACTCTGCTAACTAACCTTGAAAATGAGTGAGAGCTGTTAGGAACTCATATAAGCACTGTGCTCTAGTTAATCAAGTAGTTTCCCTGGGGTTGCTGGCTCACAGGTCTGAAACCACTATCTATATATGTGTATGGCATGGAACAATTCAGTATACAGAAGACAGGTGGTGGGGCCATGTTTCTCACTATTGTTCAGTAAGCAAGGAGAGGAGGCTAGAATGATCTATGTGGTGATGGATTTGAGTTGGAGACATCAGTATGAACTCATGTTTAGCTTAATGGAGATACGAGCAGCTGTGTATAGACATATGTATGGCCTGTGTACATACGCACATAGATTTCCTTGAACTGTCAGCTGAGAGGAATTGAGGAATTGGCATCCTAGGAACAGTGAGCACATACTCTTGGTTCCATTAGAAAGAACCAGGGCTCCTTGGAGAAATGGCTGATTCTAGGGCAGACAGAAGATGAGCCTAGAACCTCTTGTAGAGCCTGAATGTAAGGAAGTGTTGTAAACACACACATACCCAAACATCCACTGAGAGAGCCCCTAATAGCCAAAGCAGAAACAATTCGAGCAACAAAAACCAGTATTGGATTATAGGTATAAAGTCACTGTGAATCCAAGTGATATGAATGCGTGCATAAATGAACACATGAGGGAGATAGACAAATCCTTAGGGAGGTGTGTGGGTGTGTGTGTTTGTGTTTGTGTTGGGAGACTGTGGAGGGGAATTGGAACCCATTAGGAGCCTGGGGGATAGCTGGGTGGTAGAGCACATAGTGAAGATTGTCTACTAACTGTAGGGTCATCTGCAACATGCTTGCCTTCTCTGCATAGGGAGACAAACATTTTGCAGATAAACATTTGACCTCACCAAAACGGCAGAAAGGGGAGGCTGAACTGCTAGGTCAAGTGGAAAAGGTGAACTACCGGAAGAATGAGACCAAGAATTGCAAATAGAACAAAATGGAAAACCACATTTTATGTCTACGTTAAAACCAAACAAACAACACCCACTGCTGTCAAGTCAAGTCCATGTCATAGTGACCCAAGGACAGAGGAGAACTGCCCCATAGGGTTTCCGAGGCTGTCATCTTTATGGAAGCTGATGGCCACAGCTTTCTCCCGTAGCCCACTGCCCCCCACCCCCCAGGGCTCCATCCCATGGGCATTAGTACTGGTGTGATGACAGGTCAGTTAAGGGATTTTAGCAGCAACTTGAGCAGTTCTTGCAGCATGCAGAAAGCAAAGAAAAGACAAAACTAAAGTGAAAGAAGACAAAGGAAACAGGCAAAGATGTCACAGACAGATCACATATATGGGTTGTTGTGTGCCATCGAGTTGGTTCTGATTCATAGTGACCCTGTATGAGGTTTCTGGAGAGTGGCTGGTGGATTGTGTATAGCAGTTCAGTGCTTAACTCTACAGCACCACACCAGGACTCTAACATATGGGAAGTTTCCCAAGCTGAAGAAAGGTTTATATTTATGGATTAGAAGGGGAAATCTGTGCTTCTAGGCAAAAATCAATGAACACAGACACATTCTCAAACTCAGATATTAATGAGTCAAAAACTTTGTAAGTTCTGCACACACTGAACTCCTCACCTCAAGGTCTACACTTCAAACCTACCAGCCACTCCTCGGAAACCCTATACATGTCCACTACGAGTCAGAACTACTCAATGGCACTTAACAACAACACGTATTATGGACAGAAAGAGTCTCTGAGAAGCATATATCAGAGTGGCCTTGAACTTCTGAGGGAAATAGTTGGTGGTGGCCTGCAGTGTTTTCTGCTGTCACCAATTAGCGTATATGTGGTCATTATAGTGGGGAGTGACGTCTGTAGTGGGGGAGTTGTGTGGTGTATATTCCATTCTGTGTGTGTAGAAGAAGTGCCAATAAGGGGAGGAGAAATTTTACATGATCAGCAAGAAAAAAGAAAAAGGCCCTTAGCTTTGCTCATGCAAAAGTTAGCAGTCCTTTCAACTTTGTAAGAAACGAGAAATTTTTTTTAAAAGCTTCTAAGTTCAAAGTGAAAGAAAACTAGAAAATTCTGCCCATATTCTGTAATCTCACTTTCCGCTGATAAACCAGATATCATGTTTATCATGGTTATCCTTTCGGTTTTGTTATGAATATGAAAGTCTGTAATTAAAGCACATATACTCATCAATGGAGTCTAGTATAGATACAATTTGCAGTTTGCTTTTTTTAGGCACCATTATGTCTTTGTCTAACCCTTTTTAGTGGAGCCCTGTTGGCACGGAAGGAGAAGTTGTTGTTAAGTGCCGTTGAGTCATTTCTGACCCATAGTGACCCTGTATAGGGTTTCCGAGGAGCAGCTGGTGAGCTTGAACTGCCAACCTTGCAGTTCAAACGGCTTTGCAGTCTGGCGCATTAACCCACAGCGCCACGAAGTGCTAGACTGCTAATCAGCAGTTCTTCAGGAGAAAGATGAGGCTTTCTGCTCCCAAAAGATTTGACAGCTTCAGAAACCCTGTACTGGGCTCACTGTGAGTCAGAATTGACTTGATGGCAGTGGCTTTTAAGGAATGCATTTAATTAGCTCCCTGTTGATGGGAGTTTGGTTGTTTTATTATTATTATTATTATTATATTGCCATTTAAAGCAAGGTGCAGTGCCTTTTAGCTCTTGTGAAAGTATAGCTATGTGTATCCATGGTTGTACAACTAATGGATTAAAGAATTTATATAGTCTGAATATATGTAAACTGACGAATCTCCTTCCCAAGTGAATGAATGACTGTTTTTCTGCTCTCTAGTCTACACTTCAGAGTCCCAGCGTGGCGCTGTGGGTTAATGCGCTAGACTGCATAGTCGGTTTGAACTGAAAGGTCAGCAGTTCAGTTTCACCAGCTGCTCCTCGGAAATCCTGTAAAGGATCGCTATGGGTCAGAACCGACTCAACGGCACTTAACAACAACATTAACAGTCAACACTTAGTTATTTCCAAAGTTTTAATCTTAGCCGTCTTATACAGAAAATATGGTCTCTTCATTGTAGTTTTAGGAGAACTAGTGGTGTAGTGGGATTCTGTGTTGAACTGCAAATCACAAGGTCAGCAGTTAGAATCCACTAGCCTTGGAAACCATATGTTGTTGTTGTTAAGTACTGTCGAGTCGGGTTCCAACCCACAGTGACCCTGTATAGGGTTTCCAAGAAGCAGCTGGTGAACTAGAATTGCAGGCCTACTGGTTCAAAGTGGACTTTGCAGGCTAGCGCATTAACCCCCAGCGCCACACCAGGACTCCTGGAAACCCTATACGGGGTCGCTATGAGTCCAAACACAACAATTGCATTTGTGATTTTGATCATGTTTATCTGACATTATACATTATTTTTCTGCAAACGCTTGTCCATGTCTTTTTCCATCATTCTGTTTTTTTTAACTGATTTGCAAGAGATCTTTGATGTGAAGAAAATCAAAATCTGTCTCCGTATTGTTGCATATTTTTTTTTCAGTATGTCATTTGTCGTTTGACTCTGCTTATGTTTTATCATACTGTATGTAACTTTTTCCTTTTTATATAGTTAGATTGATAAATGTATCTTACTGCTTCTAGGGTTTTTTTGTTGCCATATTTGGAAAGGCCTTCCCTTAGAAATTATTTTTAAAACTTAATGTAGCAACAACACTAGTGAGGTATGCACACCATTGAATGGTAACATTTACCAAAGGATGAAAATCAGAACGGGGTGGGGAAGGTGGGGAAGGAGGAGGAACACAGGGAGGAAGTGGGGTAAGTGGGGTTACAGTGAAGAGACTGCAGTTGAGATGAAACAAAGTGATTTGTGGAATATAAAACTGAAGATCTCTGAAAACCATCACTCAATTCATAGTAAAAAGTTAAAAACAAAAACAAAAACAGAAATCTTCATGTAAAAATGGATGTGAGGAAACATGATTGTCTAAACAATGAGTAATGGCTGCTTGAAATCTGAAACAAAATGGTATACATTGTGTTTTTCAGGATTCCTTTTGCAGTTTTTGAAAGAGATGGTAGACTACCACCAGCCTAAAGAGAGTTGTGATGTGGAAACTCAGACAAGCCCAGCATTTCCCAACAGAGATTCTCTTGGTAAATAGAGCCTTCTTTTCTTAGTTTTAGTTCTTCTGTTTTCTCTTTGAAAGAATTTACCTGAATTACCCTATTATGTGAATGCTCCTTTAACTGGAGAGATGCATAATTGTAGTTTGCCGGGGGAATTCATTTCTTTTGGAATCATATGACTTGAGGGAATCTGGAATTGCTATAAAATGGTGATGGTGGTGGTTATGGGCCATTGAGTCAGTTCTAACTCATAGCAGCAGAAAGTCTCATCTTTCTCCCGCGGTACTGCTGGTGGGCTCGAACAGTTAGCAACCTAACACGTAACCCACTACACTACCAAGACTCCTAAACAATTGTGGTGGTGGTGGTGGCGGCAAAGTGCCGTCGAGTCAGTTTCAACAATGGTGGTGGTGGTTGTTGTTAAGTGCCATTGAGTTGGTTCCAACCCATAGCGACCCTGTGTAGGGTTTCCGAGGAGTATCTGATGAGCTTAAACCGCCGATCTTGCAGTTCAAACCGACTTTGCAGTCCAGCACGTTAACCCACAGTGCAACCCCAGGTCAGAGAGGTAATAATAGTGTCATCAGAACCTAACTTTCCTGAAGATGATGAGACTCACTGTTGACACCTGGCTCCAGCCTTTACCAATTCCATCCATCACCAGCTGGCTTGCCCTCAGTATGCTCACAAGGGAGCTTCCAAAAGTTCATAGAAAAATGCAATCATCTTTTCATTCCAAATCTCCTTGAACTTTTGGAAGCCCCCTCATACTACTCTGGGTTTGATAATGAATGGACTGCAATGGTCATACAGAATTTGCAGGCCATACTCAGTTACGTGGTTTCTGAAGGAACAAAATACAATTTGGGAGCAGGATTAACAGGCTACAACTCAGGAATCAGGACCCAGAAGCCTGTAGACAAAGTCTCCATTCCCGTGCAGGGCAGCTCTCAGCTCCTCCCAGAGGCTCTGTCACTGGGCCCCTTCCGAGCCGCCTGCTATCTTCAGTTACAGCCCTTGACCTGCTCTTTTAGGAGGTTCTTTGTCTCTTCTCTCTCTTTGCTTCTTTCTGCATTCTTCCTTATGCTCTCTGATCTCTCTCTTAAAAACCTCTGTGCAAAAAAAACAAAACAACAACAAAAAAAACCCACACGAAACAAACCAGAAGACCTCTGCATAAGACTCCCACCTGGGCCACAAACTCACCAACCTCTTGAACCACCCCAGAAGCCAGAGACACTTCATGTGCGTAGTAAGCAGAGCTGGGCTACATCTCGCTTCATCTGCAAGCCCTTGCAAGGTGCATACCAATCACAGGGTGAGCTGAAGCCCAGAACCAGACCCAAATACCCAGGAATGTCAGTCAATCTGGACAAAAAGACCAAAGCTGCTGGGGTAGAAAGGAGGGCAAAGGTGACTCCTCGGGGCTTAGGGGGAAAATCTCTCAAACTTTTTTTCCAAAAGAACCAAGACCAAAGGAACTCATTTCACCCCACCTGCTCTCCAGTGTTGTCTGGGTGCTAGGGCTGCATTTTCCACATCAGGTAAGGCTCCCGAGGCCCAGAGACACACATTCTTCCTTTTTTGTTGTGTTCAGCCTCTGTTCTTATGTCTGCTCCGGATTTATTTTACAACCACGAAGTTGAAAAACCATAGAGCTGCCATTGACCTATCACTGGGTCCCAGAGGAAGAGCAACTTAGAAACATCCCATCTGTGTGAGGACTGACACGGACTCCATGGTCCAGAGCTTTTTCCACCATGCAGCCTTTCTACACTCTTGTCCTTCCCTTTAGCTTTGTGCTTAGTAGGTAACCCACCACCACTGCCATGGAGTTGATTTGGACTCCTAGCGACCCTACAGGACAGAAGCGAACTGCTCCTTAGGGTTGCCGAGACTAAATCTTGACGGGAGCACACAGCCTGCTCTTTCTTCCTTAGAGCGGCTTGTGGACTTGAACCTCTGCCCTTGAGGTTAGCATCCCAACACTTAACCCATGGGATGACCCAGGCTCTTTAAGATGGAAAATCTCTGGTTAAAATGATCCTTTATATGATTATTCGATTTCATGGCTCTTCCTTACTAATAAGTAGTACTACTTTACCTTTTACCATGAGAAGTTCAGAATTTGGGAACATTTTATGGTATAAGATTTAGGCACATGGAGGTTCCATTCCATTCGAGACATAGTGCATACATATCATGGGCGTTGCTGTCTCATAATGCCAGCCATCTGTATAGTTTTCATTGTCGTGGTAGCCACATTAGGAAAGGTAAACAGAACCAAGCAGATGAAGTTGGTTTTAGTAATGTGTCTTACTTCGCTCAATATAGCCAATTTATTATTTCAGCATGCAAGCCCATTGCCACTGAGCTGATTCTGACTAAGCCCAGACTGCCGGAGGTTTCTTCCACAGGATAAAAATTTGCCAGTTAGCACTGGGTTTACATGCTGAGTCGCTGACATCAGCTTCGTCTCTAGCACTTAAGAACATGGCTCTCTGTTCAGACTGGCCTCATTTCCAGCGCTTCCTGGCTGCATGTGGCCGTATTGGTCAGCCGAGTTCGAAAGTATTGAGAACCACAGAAAAGTAGGTGGCAACGCACATCTAAAGTTATGCCAACCAGAGACACACGTGCCCATACTTTGGTCTGTTTCTGACAGCGTTTTTTGTTTCGTGGTATTCCTGGTGGGCATTGTAGTCAGGTCTACATTCTGCTGCTCTAGGTTGAATGCCGACCCATCATTGGTTTGAAGACCACTGGACTAGGGAGAAAACGCTGGATTGAGAGATGACCAATAGATCTTGTTTTAGCTCCAGTTTTGCCATTATGTGATTGTTTTACCATTTGGAAATTACGTAAGGTATATAACCATCTGTTTCCCTATCTGCAGAGTGAAGGAGTCCATTTTCAGATCAGCATTCTGAACGTGGAAATCAGATTTCCAATCAAAGAGCTCTTTGCACTGGCACTAAGAGATGGGGAAGAGATTACACTGTTGTTTGACTTCACTGAACTCTTTTCTTTTCCCCTCAACACTCAACATATGGAAAAATTGGGAGCATTTTACAGTGGACACTTGTATGCCCACCACCTAGAGTCATCATGGTTACATACCCATTACACTTGCTTCATGGTTATCTGTCCAGCCATGAATCCATCGTGTTTTCTAGATGCAGCTAAAAGTAAATGGCAGCCATCCCTAACTCTCTTCTGCTCTGAACAGAGGCCTGCCTGGTCTTGTGCCTGGTCACCTTCCTCGATACTAATCTGATGTCCTGTCGGTTTCTCTGCAGCTGAGAAGCTTCGACTTATTGATGACCAGTTTGCAGATGCTCGTTCTCAGCGTCCTAAGTTAGACTCTTTAGAAAGAAAGCTAAATGAATATAAGCGAGAAATGGAACAGCAACTTCGGGCAGAAATGGTTCAGAAGGTATGCCTTCTCTTAGTGGTGCCAAACAAGGGCAGTTCTTTTGCTTGTCTTTTAATGTCTTCTTCTGAGGTATACAAGAAAATACCTAGAGCCCTTTGTAATGAATTGGCAACAACTGTTGTTGTTTGTTGTTAAGTGCTATCAAGTCGGTTCCGACCCATATTGACCCCGGATAGCATTTTCAAGGAGCTGCTGGTGAGTTTGAACGGCTGACCTTGTGGTTCAGATCGACCTTGTGGTGGAGTGCTTATCCTGCAGCACCACATCAGGAGTCCTAGGCCGCTGCAGTGTTAGGCATGTTACTTTCATTTTCAATTGATGTCCTTTCCAAATGCCTTTTTAATCAAGCCTACCAAATGATGAATTGAGACTGAATATAATCGCTGTGGGCAGAGCATTAATGTTAACCCTACCAGTGGAAGAGAAATGGGTTGCTTTTTCTGTAGTCATAGATACTTAACAGTTCTTTGTGGTCATTTGGCAGTTGAAGTACTTTAAAGACACAGAACTCGCAAAGGTTAAAATGGAAGAGAGAAGAAAATATGAGAAGGAGTTGGCTGCATTCCAGAATGATTTTGAGAGAGCTTGTCAAGCAAAATCTGATGCACTCATTGCTCGGGAAAAGAGCACCCTTGAGCGGATTCAGAAGCATCAGGAGGTAAGATCGGAAACTAATTTCATGGGTGGCTTTTCCCTGCAGTTGGAAGGTGCTGGAGAGAGAGGAGATCATTGATCCAGAAGACAAATGGCAGGATCCACCTAGAACAGTATCCACAGACGTCCTTCCTCCGAAACTGGTGGAAAGGGTGGTGGTGGATAGGAGGAGCAGGCTGAGATGATGGAAGTTCCAACTCAACAAACTGCATCCGAGGCCGATTGGAGAGTGTGGCCGAGGGTTTGTGGAGAGGAACCAAGGTACAAAAGAGCTGCTTGTGGGCGAGGGAGGAGCAGTGCTCAAAAGCAGAGAGGCCTGACTGAGCAAAGGGCCCCATCGAGATGGGGAGCCTGGGATTGGAACTGACCAACCTGAGTGCTTTCCGGTGATTTGCTATTATAGGGGGGGTGGGCAGAGGGCAGGGGGTGGCCAGTGAGGGTGGAAAGATTGCTGTGCTTGGGGAGTGAAAGTTTTTCCGTGGAGAAACTCAGCCTATTGTATTGAAGATACTGGGGTTTAGCTGGGTACCCCAGGAGAGCATAGGGTGAGGGGCTGCTGAACTAGGGGAGAAGAGGGGAGGGATACAAAGATAAACTACAGGTCTAGGGAGACTGCCAGGTGGAAGAAGCTGGTCAAGGGTACACAGCGAGGCAGGCTGAGGTTTCCTGAGAAGACATGCAGCACTGTAGCGTTGGCTGTCAGTGGGAGTGGAGCCGGGGGCTCAGGCCTGTGGCCACATGATCCAGTCACCAGGAGGTGGAGAGACCGAGTGTGGTGTCTCCTCTCGAAAACCATGTTCCTTTCCTAGAGTCATGTCTTAGCCCAGACTGGCTTTGTGGTGCTGTCCCCAGTGCCCATGATAAACTCTGGACAGCTGCAGATGTTGAAAATCAGGGGACTTACTCTGAGTGCCACCACTTGCTTGGATCTTCTCACTAAGACCTTGTTCAATGATAATTCCCCCTCCCCCCGAAAGGCTCATTTCAGCTCTAAAAACATGAACATTTGCGATGAGGGGATTTGGTTTAGATTAACAGCTTCTTACCTACCACTGGCAGACCCAAATTCCTATCTGGGGACCAGATAATCTGAGGGTTCTAGAAAACAACCCATGAGATGGTTATAGCCACCTCATAAAGAGTCCTCCACCTGGACTGCCCTCCCCTCCTGGCCCTGAAAGGACCAAGCGGTCCCTGACTCACTGGCTGACTTTCTCAGACCTGCTGTGTACCAGGTGGTGATCTTGTGTTTCTGTCGGTTCTTGTGGTCACATTGGAGTGTAGCGAGCTGTGAGCTCCTCTCTGACTGGATCGTGAGCGCCTTAGCGGCAAGGCCTGGATGTGCACACCTTTGCACATCCAGCTCCCGGGGTGCCATTAGCCACATCAACCCTGGCTGTGTGTACATACGTCGTGGATGTGTGGCTCGTTCAGTCAGCTGAACAGACTGGGGCCATGCTGACTCTATTCTGTTGATGTTCTCTTACTGGAAGCCCAGCTGCTTTACATGTTAGTGAATGAGAGACGCCAGTAAATAAAATAATTAGACAAGGGATGTCAGGAATATAGGATAGTAGAGCGTACCAGTCATCGGGAGGGAGAAATTTCCTCTGAAAATAGAGGCCAAAATGATACCTTGAATTAGAACCGTTTGAGAGCGAAACTGCCACCCTAGAGGCCTGTACTTTGGGACTTTTTTTTTTTTTTTAATTTGGATAGAATATTAGTTAAAATCTGTTTTTATTTTCCTTCACCGACTGGCTAAAAATTAGTGCTTTCCTTGTACAGATTGAAACGAAAGAAATTTATGCCCAAAGGCAAGTTCTGCTAAAGGATATAGACCTGCTAAGAGGCAGAGAAGCTGAGCTGAAGCAAAGAATTGAAGCTTTCGAATTGTGAGTAATGTGTGTCCATTTTGGATCGTCAGAATGGATGATTCCGATGAAAAAGCATTACTGAATATATGTCTAGATAGATATAGTCTAAGGTCCTTGGTGGTGAAGGGTACAATTCCTGAGTTTTTAAAAGTACAAGTGAAGCATTATCCAGTAGTCATTGGTTATGAAAGGTGGTATCACCTAGTTTAGAGGAGCTATAGTTAAGCATTAGGCTGCTAACACCTGCCAGCCACTCTGTAGGAGAAAGATGAGGCTGTTGGCTTTGGTAAAAATTCTAAGCCTTGCAAACCCTATGGGGCAATTCTAGTCAGAGGGTCGCTGTGAGTCAGAAACAACTTGATGGCAGTGGGTTTTTGCTTTGGAAGAATTGGACATTAACATGAAAGCAAGATGAGACTGCATTATTGGGGTACAATAAGCCCAAACAAAATGTGGAGACTAATAACTGATGCCTTAACAACTCTCAGTTGGGGCCAGGTGTTCTATTCGCGTAGTTGCCATTGCGTCCAGGGACAGATGCCAGAGACCAGACCAAGCGTGCATCCTGTTCTCAGAGGGTCCTGGGGCTTGTGGCGTGTGGTACTTAGTTTTGGAGTCCTCACAGATGTCTCTCTCTTCAGATCTTACTGACGATTGATCAAGCTCACCAGCTTGTTGTTGGTGATGGTTGGTGTTAAGTGCTATCAAGTCAGCTCCGACTCATAACAACCCTATATAGGGTTTCCAAGGAGGGGCTGAATTTGAACCGCCAACCTTATGGTTCAGATCAACCTTGGGGTCCAGCACTGTATCCCACAGCGCCACACAGTGCAATCAACCTTTCCCATTTAGAGCCAGCTATTCTGAATACGATGATGATGCCTGTTCAGTCATGGCGCTCACTCCAGCCAGCATCTTCGTCATGCTTCTTCATTTATATGCTGTGATTCCTTTTGTCTGCCTTACTCTTTTTGTCAATCCTGAAGAGGTAAATTGGATCAAGAGGGAGTACAGAAAAAGAACCAGATTTGGGTATTAATGTTGTTGTTCTTCAGTGCCTTTGAGTTGGTTCCGACTCAGCAACCCTGTGTACGGTTTCCAAGGAGTGACTGGTAAGCTTGAACTCCTGACCTTGTGGTTCAAACCGACCTTGCAGTCTTTGGGTATTGATACTCGATGATTATATGATTTCTTTTTTGCCTCCACTTCTCTTACTCCTTCCTGGTAATCTTCAAAGGTAAATAAATGTAGCATGTTGCTCTGCTAAGTAACCTGGTATTGTACTGGGTTACGAATTGGGCTGCAAACTGCTAGGTCAGCAGTTCGAATCCACCAGCTGCTCTCCTCAGGAGAAAGATGAGGCTTTCTGCTCTGTAAAGACTTACAGCCTCAGAAACCGGATCTGTATAGGGGCACCAGGAGTCAGAGCTGACTGAGTCCAACGCACACCACCACTACCATCACGGCTCTGCGGCTGTACGAATTAGTCAGCAGAGGGCGCTCGTACATAGAGCTTTTATCTTTTCCTGATTGTCATGCCTTCATTTGGGTGCCTGGGAATCCAAGTTCTCAGCTCTGGAATCGGGCTTGTGGTTAAAGGTTCGCTCTGGGGACCCATTTCTTTCTTCTGTACTTGGAAATCCTGATTGATCCATCTAACTTTGACTCTCAGAATTCACTTAGTGGATATTCAGTGACAAAAATGAAGCTCCTCACTTTAATATCCATATGGGAATCAGTTAAATTCCACACTGAGAAACAACAACGTTGAAGAAACAAGCATATCAGACACTACCTTAAGTTTTGTCTGTCATCTTGTAATGAATAACATCATTCTTTTTCCCCAAATTGATGATGACCATTTATCCATCATCTGTGACCATTTTGTAACTTTTTTCCTGGGAAAGCACTTTGGTCTTGACTCCTCCCACAACCCCCAGCGTGGAGTTCCAAGACAGCTCTCTCTGGGTCAGGTCAGAAAAGGGGCGGAACTTCAGCTCTTCCCATTTCTTTCCTGACATTGGTGGTGAACTCACGGTTGACAGTGGATTTGCTGTTATTTTCATTCTAAATGAGTTTGCTCCAATGTGGTATATTAATCTGTGTCTGTCTTTTTGCGAACTTCAGGTCCCAGAAGCTACAAGAAGAGCAAACTAAAAGCGTAGACGATGCTCTGAGGAGACGGGAGCTGAATCTACAGACGCTAGAGGAGACTTACGAGCAAAAGCTCAGGACTGAACTGCTCAAGTAAGCACTTGGAGTTTGTAAAGGAGTAATGTATTTGAATGAAGGCGTAGACCCATGACAGAAGCTGACAGTTTAGAGTCACATAATCTAAATACATGCTTTCAAAAGAAGTACTTTTCACTGTCACTGAAGGCGTCCATGAGTGTTTGCATTAGGGCAGTTTTAGAAAGAAGAATGGACGCCTTTGAATTAAGGCATTGCCAAAGAATACGAACTATACCATAGACTGCCAGAAGAATGAAGAAATATGCCAGAAGGCTTCTTGAAGTGAGGCTAGCAAGCCTTCGGTTCACGTACTTTAGTCATGTTATCAGGAGGGACTGGTCTCTGGAGATGGATATCATGCTGGTAAAGTAGAGGGTTAGAGAAGAAGATGACCTTTCCCTTCTGCCCTCAATTGAGACGGACCGACCCTGTGGCTGCGGCTGGTGTAGGAGCAGGTGGTGGTCCCTTCCGTTGGACATAGGTTGCTATGAATTGGAACTGACTGGCCAGCACCTAACAGCTGCAGTAGTTTACAATAGATACAGGCGAGCCAATCGCATCCTCTGCTCACCCTTCACTAGAGTTTCCCGAACATTTATTTTGAAGACCTGTGATTTGCTCAGCTTCCACAGCTGGTAAGCAGTAAACTTTGGAGTGATTATCAAGCTTAGTTATCATCTCTGCCCCACTAAGGTAGGAGCATTGAACAGCTTAGAAACAGGTCTCCTATGGCTTTAGACAAGCCTGTGGAGGCTTGTCTGCTGAGCAGTTTTCTAGAATCGGACGGAATAGGAAGAAAGACCTGGTGATCTACTTTTGAAAACCAGCCAGGGAACTTTCTGTGATCTCAGTGGTCCGATCCTGCTGGGCGTGGGGTCGCCATGTATCAGACTGGAAGGGAGCTGACACCAGCACCCGCATGACTATCACATGTGTCAGTGAACATGAGCTTTGTGTACCTTCCAGATTCGGCAGAACCAGAATCCAATCAAATGAAAAAAAAGTAAACAAAGCAAAAGAAGGAAAGGAAAAAAGGGGCCATTTGAGCGGGGCTCCCCTCTGGTCTGAACAAGGACAGTAAGCCAAATGGCAGCCATTCTCCAGTGCCCGGCCTGCGGGCTCGGGGAAGAGCTGGCTCCACTCAGCTGCTCTGCATGGGGCCTAATACCAGTCCGTAGCTGCTTTTTGCTGCCTTGCCCATCATTTCCCATCCATAGCCCTTTACTGAGGACAGACAATCCGTGGCTTACAAGTGTCTAACTTACCGGCAAATCCTGTTAAGTGCTGTCGAGTTGATTCCAACTCATAATGACCCTGCATAAGGTTTCTGAGGAGCAGCTGCTGGATTTGAACCACCAACCTTGTAGTTGGCAGTCCAGTGTTTATCCTACGGCACCACACCAGGTACTCCCAGGCAAGCCCTATTCGCCTTTCGATGGAAATTTGCCCTGAGAAGATTGAATCAACTCCTTGTTTTCATTGTTAAGTGCTGACCTCGTGGGTCAAACAGACCTTGTGGTTGAGGACGCATCCTCCAGCACCACACCAGGAACCAATTCCTACTTGCAATAAATCAATTCTTCATCACAATCACCCTCACTTGCAGCTTTGAAATCAATTTAAGAGCAAGCTAACCCTAACCACTGCCATCGAGTTGATCCTGACTCCTAGCAGCCCTGTAGGACAGACTCGAACTTCTCAGTAGGTTTTCAGAGCCTACTCTTGCAGGAGCAGACAGCCTCGTCTTTCTCCCATGATCTGCTGGTGAGTTTGATCTGCTGACTTTGTGGTTTTACAGCCCAATGCTTAATGCATAGCACCACCAGAGCTCCTAAATCATTGAAACCCAAACTTCAAACGTACCAGCCGCTCCCATGGAAAAAGCTGAAGCTGTCTGCTATCATGAAGATTTACAGCCGGTAGGTTTGAACTGCTGACCTTGCAGTTAGAGGTGCTGCATGCCTTGTGGTTAGTGGGCCAGGCCTCCTTGAAGTATTGAAAACTACGGCTGCGTAAGAACCCTGTGCACCCGTTTGCACTTGACCACGCTTTCTTAGGGACTGCCTCTATTTTCAAAGGTTCTTGGGTCTGAAGTCTGTAAAAAATACTCTGTTCAAGAAGGAATACCATCAGCTTTTCCATTTAGCCATCTAAAATGATGGCTTTTATTCACCTTTTCTATGGAGTGCTGGTATGGTGCTATAGGATAAGCACTGGACTGCTAACTGTAAGGTTGGTGGTTCAAACCCACCAGCCGCTCCTTGGAAACTATACAGCATTTCTATGAGTTGGAGCCAACTCAACGGCACTTCAGAACAATTCACATCGTTTATGTCAGTCTTTATAATAGCAAGCATGGAGTGCCCTGGTTAAACTTCTAGGAAGACCCCAGTAGACGCGTGTGTGGTCATTACTGAGCTAAGGAACTCTGGTAGTGTAGTGGGTTACCAGCTGGGCTGCTAACCATAAGGTCAGTGGTGTGAATCTACTAGTCACTCTGTGGGAGAAAGAAGAGGCTTTCTGCTCCCATAAAGATTTACATTCTCGGAAACCCTGTGCAGGGCTGCTATGAGGTGGAACCCACTCGATGGCACACACCCACCACCACCACGCAGACCAGACAGTTTGTGGCCTCATTGTGACATTTCCCAAGACTTGTAAGCTGTCTGCCTTGGGACTCCTCCTCTAACTCACCAGGGGAATGTGGGCCCCAACCCATCTCGGAACCCAAAAGCTATTGGAGAGACAGTGAAACCCTGGGCAAACGTGCCTCTGGGCACCACTGATCTTGATGTCCTATACTGCTGTCAAGGAACTCTCAGTGCTGAGGGGTGAGGGTGGGGTGGGACAGGGGGATTCAAAGTGACTGACTTGTTTTCTTTGGGCATTTTCCCACATCACTGGCGAGACAGCTGTAGACGTGTGTTTGACTTTTGTACTACTTTGCTCTTTCTGCCAAAGATAATTGCTTCCTGTAGCCTCACCATAATGTGGCCCTTCGTTTTGTGTAATTGATATTTGGGGACTCAGTTTACAGGACTGGGGCAGGGCTTCACTGGCCCTGTTATGTTCAGGAGTACTGATGGCACAGTGGGTTAAGTGTTGCGCTACTAACTGAAAGGTTGGAGGGTTCCAACCCACCAGTCGGTCTGCGGGAGAAAGATGAGGCCGTCCGCTTCCGTAAAGATTGACAGCCTCGGAAACCTTCTGGAGCAGTTCTCCTGTGCCCTACAGGGTTGCTCTGAGTTCAAATCCACTCGCAAGCAGTAGGTTTGGCCTTGTTACTGAAGTTGACGCCTTCTGTTGAGCACTCTTAGGTGCCTCTGTGCCAGTCAAGCTCACGAATCGCTGGTATCATGTCCAGAAAAATGACAAAGAAAACTCAGTGTTGGTCATTCTGATCCTCAGGTACCAACTTGAACTGAAGGATGACTACATCTCTAGAACAAACAGACTGGTTGAAGATGAAAGAAAAAATAAAGGTGATTCTTGGCCAGGGGCTGGGCGGGGAGGGGCAGGCTGTATTTTTCAAGTCTAATGTAAGGAGCTCTGGTAGCGTAGTGGTTACGAATCGGGCTGTGAACCGCAAGGTCAGCAGGTCGAAACTACCAGCTGTTCCGCGGGAGAAA